GGGAACTTGGTTCAGGCAAGGGAACTTGGTTCAGGCAAGTGAACTTGGTTCAGGCAGGGGAACTTGGTTCAGGCAAGGGAACTTGGTTCAGGCAAGTGAACTTGGTTCAGGCAGGGGAACTTGGTTCAGGCAAGGAAACTTGGTTCAGGCAAGGGAACTTGGTTCAGGCAGGGGAACTTGGTTCAGCCAAGGAAACTTGGTTCAGGCAAGTGAACTTGGTTCAGGCAGGGGAACTTGGTTCAGGCAAGGGAACTTGGTTCAGGCAAGGGAACATGGTTCAGGCAAGTGAACTTGGTTCAGGCAAGGAAACTTGGTTCAGGCAAGTGAACTTGGTTCAGGCAGGGGAACTTGGTTCAGGCAAGGGAACTTGGTTCAGGCAATTTGAACTTGGTTCAGGCAGGGGAACTTGGTTCAGGCAAGGGAACTTGGTTCAGGCAAGTGAACTTGGTTCAGGCAGGGGAACTTGGTTCAGGCAAGGGAACTTGGTTCAGGCAAGTGAACTTGGTTCAGGCAGGGGAACTTGGTTCAGGCAAGGGAACTTGGTTCAGGGCAAGTGAACTTGGTTCAGGCAGGGGAACTTGGTTCAGGCAAGGGAACTTGGTTCAGGCAAGGGAACTTGGTTCAGGCAGGGGAACTTGGTTCAGCCAAGGAAACTTGGTTCAGGCAAGTGAACTTGGTTCAGGCAGGGGAACTTGGTTCAGGCAAGGGAACTTGGTTTAGGAAAGGGGAACTTGGTTCAGGAAGTAAAACTTGGGTTCGGGGAAAGGAAACTTGGTTCAGGCAAGTGAACTTGGTTCAGGCAGGGGAACTTGGTTCAGGCAAGGGAACTTGGTTCAGGCAAGTGAACTTGGTTCAGGCAGGGGAACTTGGGTTTTCAGGCAAGGGAACTGGTTCAGGCAAGTGAATTGGTTCAGGCAGGGGAATTTGGTTCAGGCAAGGGAACTTGGTTCAGGCAAGGGAACTTGGTTCAGGCAAGTGAACTTGGTTTTCGGCAGGGAACTTGGTTCGGGCAAGGAAACTTGGTTCAGGCAAGGAACTTGGTTCAGGCAGGGGAACTTGGTTCAGGCAAGGGAACTTGGTTCAGGCAAGGGAAATTGGTTCAGGCAGGGGAACTTGGTTTCAGGCAAGGGTACTTGGTTCAGGGCAGGGGAACTTTGGTTCAGGCAAGGGAACTTGGTTCAGGCAAGTGAACTTGGTTCAGGCAAGGGAACTTGGTTCAGGCAAGTGAACTTGGTTCAGGCAGGGGAACTTGGTTCAGGCAAGGGAACTTGGTTCAGGCAGGGAACTTGGGTTCAGGCAAGTGAACTTGGTTCAGGCAGGGGACTTGGGGTTCAGGCAAGGAAACTTGGTTCAGGCCCAAGGGAACTTGGTTCAGGCAGGGGAACTTGGTTCAGGCAAGGGAACTTGGTTCAGGAAAGGGGAAATTGGTTCAGCAGGGAACTTGGTTCAGGCAAGGGAACTTGGTTCAGCAAGGGAACTTGGTTCAGGCAGGGGAACTTGGTTCAGGCAAGGGAACTTGGTTCAGGCAGGGGAAAACTTGGTTCAGGCAGGGGAACTTGGTTCAGGCAAGGGAACTTGGTTCAGGCAGGGGAACTTGGTTCAGGCAGGGGAACTTGGTTCAGGCAAGTGAACTTGGTTCAGGCAGGGGAACTTGGTTCAGGCAAGGGAACTTGGTTCAGGCAAGGGAACTTGGTTAAGGCAGGGGAACTTGGTTCAGGCAAGGGAACTTGGTTCAGGCAGGGGAACTTGGTTCAGGCAGGGGAACTTGGTTCAGGCAGGGGAACTTGGTTCAGGCAGGGGAACTTTCTTCAGGCAGGGGAAGTTTGTTCAGGCAAGGGAACTTGGTTCAGGCAAGGGAACTTGGTTCAGGCAGGGAACTTGGTTCGGGCAGGGGAACTTGGTTCAGGCAGGGGAACTTGGTTCAGGCAAGGGAACTTGGTTCAGGCAGGGGAACTTGGTTCAGGCAGGGGAACTTTGTTCAGGCGGGGGAACTTGGTTCGGCAAGGGAACTTGGTTCAGGCAAGGGAAATTGGTTCAGGCGGGGGAACTTGGTTCAGGCAAGGGAAAACTTGGTTCAGGCGGGAACTTGTTCAGGCAAGGGAACTTGGTTCAGGCAAGTGAACTTGGTTCAGGCAAGGGAACTTGGTTCAGGCAAGTGAACTTGGTTCAGGCAGGGGAACTTGGTTCAGGCAGGAACTTGGTTCAGGCAAGGGAACTTGGTTCAGGCAATGAACTTGGTTCAGGCAGGGGAACTTGGTTCAGGCAAGGAAACTTGGTTCAGGAAAGGGGAACTTGGTTCGGCAGGGAACTTGGTTCAGGCAAGGGAACTTGGTTCAGGCAAGGGGAAAAATTGGTTCAGGCAGGGGAACTTGGTTCAGGCAGGGGAATTTGGGTTCAGGCAAGGGAACTTGGTTCAGGCAGGGGAACTTGGTTCAGGCAAGGGAACTTGGTTCAGCAGGGGAACTTGGTTCAGGCAGGGGAACTTGGTTCGGGCGGGGAACTGGTTCAGGAAAGGGGAAAACTTGGTTCAGGCAGGGAACTTGGTTCAGGCAGGGGAAACTTGGTTCAGGCAAGTGAACTTGGTTCAGGCGGGGGGAACTTGGTTCAGGCAAGGGAACTTGGTTTCAGGCAAGGGAACTTGGTTAAGGCAGGGGAACTTGGTTCAGGCAAGGGAACTTGGTTCAGTCAGGGGAACTTGGTTCAGGCAGGGGAACTTGGTTCAGGCAGGGGAACTTTCTTCAGGCAGGGGAAGTTTGTTCAGGCAAGGGAACTTGGTTCAGGCAAGGGAACTTGGTTCAGGCAGGGAACTTGGTTCGGGCAGGGGAACTTGGTTCAGGCAGGGGAACTTGGTTCAGGCAAGGGAACTTGGTTCAGGCAGGGGAACTTGGTTCAGGCAGGGGAACTTTGTTCAGGCAGGGGAACTTGGTTCAGGCAAGGGAACATGGTTCAGGCAAGGGAACTTGGTTCAGGCAAGGGAACTTGGTTCAGGCAAGGGAACTTGGTTCAGGCAAGGGAACTTGGTTCAGGAAAGGGGAAAACTTGGTTTCCGCAAGGGAACTTGGTTCAGGCAAGGGAACTTGGTTCAGGCAGGGAAACTTGGTTCAGGCAAGGGAACTTGGTTCAGGGAGGGGAACTTGGTTCAGGCAAGGGAACTTGGTTCAGGCAAGGAAACTTGGTTCAGGCAAGGGAACTTGGTTCAGGCAGGGGAACTTGGTTCAGGCAAGGGAACTTGGTTCAGGCAAGGGAACTTGGTTCAGGTAAGGGAACTTGGTTCAGGCAAGGGAACTTGGTTCATGCAAGGGAACTTGGTTCATGCAAGGGAACTTGGTTCAGGCAAGGGAACTTGGTTCAGGCAAGGGAACTTAGTTCAGGCAAGGGAACTTGGTTCAGGCAAGGGAACTTGGTTCAGGCAGGGGAACTTGGTTCAGGCAGGGGAACTTGGTTCAGGCAAGGGAATTGGTTCAGGCAGGGGAACTTGGTTCAGGTAAGGGAACTTGGTTCAGGCAAGGGAACTTGGTTCAGGCAGGGGAACTTGGTTCAGGCAAGGGAACTTGTTTCAGGCAAGGGAACTTGTTTCAGGCAAGGGGACTTGGTTCAAGCAGAGGAACTTGGTTCAGGCAAGGGAACTTGGTTCAGGCAAGGGAACTTGGTTCAGGCAGGGGAACTTGGTTCAGGCAGGGGAACTTGGTTCAGGCAAGGGAACTTGGTTCAGGCAAGGGAACTTGGTTCAGGCAAGGGAACTTGGTTCAGGCAAGGGAACTTGGTTCAGGCAAGGGAACTTGGTTCAGGCAAGGGAATTGGTTCAGGCAGGGGAACTTGGTTCAGGCAAGGGAACTTGGTTCAGGCAAGGGAATTGGTTCAGGCAGGGGAACTTGGTTCAGGCAAGGGAACGAGGTTCAGGCAAGGGAACTTGGTTCAGGCAGGGAAACTTGGTTCAGGCAAGGGAACTTGTTTCAGGCAAGAGAACTTGTTTCAGGCAAGGGGACTTGGTTCAGGCAAGGGAACTTGTTTCAGGCAAGGGAACTTGGTTCAGGCAAGGGAACTTGGTTCAGGCAAGGGAACTTGGTTCAGGCAAGGGGACTTGGTTCAGGCAAGGGAACTTGTTTCAGGCAAGGGAACTTGGTTCAGGCAGGGGAACTTGGTTCAGGAAAGGGGAACTTGGTTCGGCAGGGGAATTTGGTTCAGGCAATGGAACTTGGTTTCAGGCAAGGGAAATTTGGTTCAGGCAGGGGAACTTGGTTCAGGCAAGGGAACTTGGTTCAGGCAGGGGAACTTGGTTCAGGCAAGGGAACTTGGTTCAGGCAAGGGAACTTGGTTCAGGCAAGGGAACTTGGTTCAGGCAAGGGAACTTGGTTCAGGCAAGGGAACTTGGTTCAGGCAAGAGAACTTACTCTATTCAAGCTTGACTGCTCGCCAAGCTTTTTTCATTATTAAAAATACATATGTTCGCCATGTTTGGCTCATAAAAGGCATCAACCCATTTCATTCGGTCACCAACTTCACAACAGATACCCTCATGAATATAGTCAATACCCTCGTCGGGATAATGACTATATCCCACTGGGGTAACCCGCCTATCAGTGACTGTCCTCGTCTGCTACACGTCCCTATTCACTGACGCCTATATAAGCGCCAGTCTCCTTGCTTTAGCTTCAGAATCTCTACAGCCACGGTGCTGTAAACACCTCCTCCAAGGCTGAGGGACTGATTACCTCATCTTTTATATATAGCTCTTCTGTTTTCTTATTATGTCCAAGAATCTGTATTGATAAAGCCATTGGATGGTGAAACGTCTACAACAAAGATATCCAGATGTTTCACAATTGTCTTAACTTTCATCTTGTCGGTATTGTATACCTGTCAGGTTGTGCTCTAATACATGTAACACCAGAACAACATTTACCAGGAAAACCATATAAACACAGTCCAGTTCAATATTAAAGTTATCTGACCTGACTGGATATATGTTGAACACACCGCTGGTGATAAAGTTATCTGACCTGACGGGATATATGTTGAACACACCGCTGGTGATGAACCCCTGGCGTCGGTAGCCCAAACAATCAGCAGGTCTGTAAGAGAAATTATTTCTGTTTATCTTGCATATTTGACCACTAATGCCTAAAGAAAATACGCATTACTGTCAACATATAAACATAAACATATACGAAAAACTAATAAAAAAGTCTCATAAGAGGTCAGGGTGTGACATATTTTTTTTTTTTTTGCCTAATTGTTTAAAGATATATTTATTCTCGTTGACCATTATATTAAAGCTAAGTGTGCAGTATACTTGACTATGTGCTGTATCTGCCACAGTATACTTGACTATGTACTGTATCTGCCACAGTATACTTGACTATGTGCTGTATCTGCCACAGTATACTTGACTATGTGCTGTATCTGCCGCAGTATACTTGACTATGTGCTGTATCTGCCGCAGTATACTTGACTATGTGCTGTATCTGCCAAAGTATACTTGACTATGTACTGTATCTGCCGCAGTATACTTGACTATGTGCTGTATCTGCCACAGTATACTTGACTATGTGCTGTATCTGCCGCAGTATACTTGACTATGTGCTGTATCTGCCCCAGTTATACTTGGGGCTATGTACTGTATCTGCCGGGAGTATACTTGACTATTGCTGTATTTTGCCGCAGTATACTTGACTATGTGCTGTATCTGCCGCAGTATACTTGACTATGTGCTGTATCTGCCGCAGTATACTTCACTATGTACTGTATCTGCCACAGTATACTTGACTATGTGCTGTATCTGCCACAGTATACTTGACTATGTGCTGTATCTGCCACAGTATACTTGACTATGTGCTGTATCTGCCGCAGTATACTTGACTATGTGCTGTATCTGCCCCAGTATATTTGCTATGTGCTGTATCTGCCGCCCGTATACTTCACTATGTACTGTATCTGCCACAGTATACTTGACTATGTTCTGTATCTGCCACAGTATACTTGACTATGTGCTGTATCTGCCGCAGTATACTTGACTATGTGCTGTATCTGCCGCAGTATACTTGACTATGTGCTGTATCTGCCGCAGTATACTTCACTATGTACTGTATCTGCCACAGTATACTTGACTATGTGCTGTATCTGCCACAGTTTAACTTGACTATGTGCTGTATTTTGCCACAGTATACTTCACTATGTACTGTATCTGCTGCAGTATACTTGACTATGTACTGTATCTGCCACAGTACACTTCACTATGTACTGTATCTGCTGCAGTATACTTGACTATGTACTGTATCTGCCACAGTATACTTGACTATGTACTGTATCTGCCACAGTATACTTGACTATGTGCTGTATCTGCCACAGTATACTTCACTATGTACTGTATCTGCCACAGTATACTTGACTATGTGCTGTATCTGCCACAGTATACTTCACTATGTACTGTATCTGCCACAGTATACTTGACTATGTGCTGTATCTGCCGCAGTATAAATTGGGCTATGTGCTGTATCTGCCGCAGTATACTTGACTATGTGCTGTATCTGCCACAGTATACTTGACTATGTGCTGTATCTGCCACAGTATACTTGACTATGTGCTGTATCGCCACGTATACTTGACTATGTGCTGTATCTGCCACAGTATACTTGACTATGTGCTGTATCTGCCACAGTATACTTGACTATGTGCTGTATCTGCCACAGTATACTTGACTATGTGCTGTATCTGCCACAGTATACTTGACTATGTGCTGTATCTGCCACAGTATACTTGACTATGTACTGTATCTGCCACAGTATACTTGACTATGTGCTGTATCTGCCACAGTATACTTGACTATGTGCTGTATCTGACACAGTATACTTGACTATGTACTGTATCTGCCACGTATACTTGATATGTGCTGTATCTGCCACAGTAAAACTTGACTATGTGCGTATCTGCCACAGTATACTTGACTATGTACTGTAATCTGCCGCAGTATACTTGACTATGTACTGTAATCTGCCGCAGTATACTTGACTATGTGCTGTATCTGCCGCAGTATACTTGACTATGTACTGTATCTGCCACAGTATACTTGATTATGTGCTGTATCTGCCACAGTATACTTGACTATGTGCTGTATCTGCCACAGTATACTTGACTATGTGCTGTATCTGCCACAGTATACTTGACTATGTAAATGTATCTGCCACAGTAACTTGACTATGTGCTGTATCTGCCACAGTATACTTGACTATGTGCTGTATCTGCCACAGTATACTTGACTATGTGCTGTATCTGCCACAGTATACTTGACTATGTGCTGTATCTGCCACAGTATACTTGACTATGTACTGTATCTGCCACAGTATACTTGACTATGTGCTGTATCTGCCGCAGTATAAATTGACTTGTGCTGTATCTGCCACAGTATACTTGACTATGTGCTGTATCTGCCACAGTATACTTGACTATGTGCTGTATCTGCCACAGTATACTTGACTATGTGCTGTATCTGCCACAGTATTTCTTGACTATTTTACTGTATCTGCCACAGTATACTTGACTATGTGCTGTATCTGCCACAGTATACTTGACTATGTGCTGTATCTGCCACAGTATACTTGACTATGTGCTGTATCTGCCATAGTATACTTGACTATGTGCTGTATCTGCCACAGTTTTACTTGACTATTTTGCTGTATTTTGCCACAGTATACTTGACTATGTGCTGTATCTGCCACAGTATACTTGACTATGTGCTGTATCTGCCACAGTATACTTGACTATGTGCTGTATCTGCCACAATATACTTGACTATGTACTGTATCTGCCGCAGTATACTTGACTATGTGCTGTATCTGCCAAAAGATACTTGACTATGTGCTGTATCTGCCACAGTATACTTGACTATGTACTGTATCTGCCATAGTATACTTGACTATGTGCTGTATCTGCCACAGTATACTTGACTATGTGCTGTATCTGCCACAGTATACTTGACTATGTGCTGTATCTGCCACAGTATACTTGACTATGTGCTGTATCTGCCACAGTATACTTGACTATGTGCTGTATCTGCCACAGTATACTTGACTATGTGCTTTATCTGCCACAGTATACTTGACTATGTGTGTAAACTGCCACAAATATACTTGACTATGTGCTGTATCTGCCACAATATACTTGACTATGTACTGTATCTGCCGCAGTATACTTGACTATGTGCTGTATCTGCCACAGTATACTTGACTATGTGCTGTATCTGCCACAGTATACTTGACTATGTACTGTATCTGCCACAGTATACTTGACTATGTGCTGTATCTGCCACAGTATACTTGACTATGTGCTGTATCTGCCACAGTATACTTGACTATGTGCTGTATCTGCCAAAAGTAAAACTTGACTATGTGCTGTATCTGCCACAGTATACTTGACTATGTGCTGTATCTGCCACAGTATACTTGACTATGTGCTGTATCTGCCACAGTATACTTGACTATGTGCTGTATCTGCCACAGTATACTTGACTATGTATTGTATCTGCTGCAGTATACTTGACTATGTACTGTATCTGCTGCAGTATACTTGACTATGTACTGTATCTGCTGCAGTATACTTGACTATGTGCTGTATCTGCCACAGTATACTTGACTATGTGCTGTATCTGCCACAGTATACTTGACTATGTACTGCATCTGCTTCAGTATACTCGACTATGTACTGCATCTGCTGCAGTATATACTTGACTATGTACTGTATCTGCTGCAGTATACTTGACTATGTATTGTATCTGCTGCAGTATAATTGACTATGTACTGTATCTGCTGCAGTATACTTGACTATGTATTGTATCTGCTGCAGTATACTTGACTATGTACTGTATCTGCTGCAGTATACTTGACTATGTACTGTATCTGCCACAATATACTTGACTATGTACTGTATCTGCCACAATATACTTGACTATGTACTGTATCTGCCACAATATACTTGACTATGTACTGTATCTGCCACAGTATACTTGACTATGTCCTGTATCTGCCACAGTATACTTGACTATGTACTGTATCTGCTGCAGTATACTTGACTATGTACTGTATCTGCCACAGTATACTTGGCCATGTACTGTATCTGCCACAGTATACTTGACTATGTACTGTATCTGCCACAGTATACTTTACTAAAGTGCTGTATCTGCCGCAGTATACTTGACTATGTGCTGTATCTGCTGCAGTATACTTGACTATGTGCTGTATCTGCCACAATATACTTGACTATGTGCTGTATCTGCCACAGTATACTTGACTATGTGCTGTATCTGCCACAGTATACTTGACTATGTGTTGTATCTGCCCAAGTTACTGACTATGTCTGTATCTGCACAGTATATTGGCTTGTGCTGTATCTGCACAGTTTATTGACTATGTACTGTATCTGCCACAGTATACTTGACTATGTACTGTAATCTGCCGCAGTATACTTGACTATGTACTGTAATCTGCTGCAGTATACTTGACTATGTCCTGTATCTGCCACAGTATACTTGACTATGTACTGTATCTGTCGCAGTATACTTGACTATGTACTGTATCTGCCACAGTATACTTACTATGTACTGTTTTTTTGCCAGTATACTTGACTATGTGCTGTATCTGCCCCAGTATACTTTACTATGTCTGTAAACTGCCACGTATACTTGAAATATGTGCTGTATCTGCCACAGTATACATGACTATGTGTTTCTTCCACAGTATACTTACTATTGCTGTATCTGCCACAGTATACATTTACTATGTCTGTATAATCTAGTAAACTTTACTTGTGCTGTATCTGCCCCCAGATACTTTACTATGTGCGTATCTGCCACAGTATACTTTACAAGTGCTGCTACTGCCCAGTATATTTACTATGTACTGTTATCCCCAGCTACAGCATACCTATACTGATATCTGTATCTGCCACAGTATCTTGACCATGTGCGAAACTGCCTAGTAATTTACTATGTCTGTATCTGCCAAGAACTTGACTAAGTCTGTTCTGCCCAGTACTTGACTATGTGCTTATCTGCCAAGTATCTGACTATTGCTGTATCGCC